CCTGCCGCAGGGCACCCGCACCCCTTCCTCAGCCCGGTGCTGCTCACCCGGTGCCAGGCGGCCGCCACCGAGGAGGAGCGCGTGGCCCTGGTGGCCCCGGCCAAGGCGGAGGCCTTGGCCTTCTTGCAGGACCAGCCCTTCAGGGACTTCCTGGCCAGCCCGTTCTACGATAGATTCCTGCAGTGGAAGCTCTTTGAGATGCAGCCGGTGTCCGACAAGTACTTCACGGAGTTCCGAGTGCTGGGGAAAGGCGGTTTTGGGGAGGTAGGTGTCCCGGGATGCCAGGCCCGAGGGTGCACAAAAGCGGGCTGTGTTGCCTTTTTACTTGCTTGTTTCCTGTTTGTTTGTTTAATCTCAAGGGAACATATTTAGAACTAATTTCAGTGCCACACAGGAATATTCCTAGCCCGCTCCTCCCAACCCTTATTTCGGGTCACCATGCAAAATAAAAATACAAATGGTGCTAGAGATAAGCACAGTGTGGACTTGCCCGGGAATCTTTACCTTGGGGACGACCTCCCTCCGGAAGGCGCCTTGGGGGTTGACAGCAGCTTGCTGCCTCTGTGGAAGGCATTTTCCATGCAGGTAAATTGAGAAAAATGGAAATCTAAGGAAGCATCCTGAAGGAAAGTCAGCAGCCTGCTTTGTGCCCCGCTCTTTGTTTTTTGTTTTTTTCTGGTACCGGGAATCTAACTCACAACCTCATGCTTGCCCGGCATGCTCTGTGCCGCTGAGCTAAATCCCCAGCCCCTGTGCTCAGCTCTGTAAAGTAGAAAAACATCTTTTTTTTTTTTTTACAAAATTCACACATCCTAAAACAACCATGAACAGTGTTGAAGGGTACCATGCAGAGGCATTTAGCACATCGGCGGAGTTGTGTAACCATTACCTGTGTCTGGTTCCCGGACATTTTCGTCACCCCGGGACCCATGAACAATCCCTCCTTACTCCCACTTCCTCTGGCCCCCAGCAACCACTGGGCTGCTTTCTGTCCCTGGGAATTTGCCTATTCTGGATGTTTCATACAATATGTGACCTTTCGTATCTGGCTCTGTCGGTGGCCGTAACCTCTGGGAGGTCCATTCTCGGTACTTTTGCTGTGAGAAGGCACGCCATTATCCATCCATCTGCGGGTGGACGGATGGACACTTGGGCTGCTCCCACCATTTGGCTGTTGGGCGTAGGGCTGCTAGGAACATCCACGCACAAGTATTTTGGGCTTCTTTATTTGTTAGTTTATTTACTGAGGGTCAAACCAGTGTTCGTTGGAATACTTGCTTGCGTTTCTTGGGTGGATGCCTAAAGTAGAATAGCTGGGTCATACAAAGAGTCTGTGAGTAGGTTTTTTCTTTTTTAAGGAGCCGTCAAAGTCTTTTCCACAGTTTAGATCCCCACAGCGAAGCTTGAGGGTTCAGTTTCCCTGCGTTATTACCAACACTTGTCATTCTCCTACCGGCCGCCCCCCCCACCGCTTCTCAAACTCAGGACCTTGTGCGTGTTAGACAGGAAGCCTACCACCGAGTTCCCCAGCTCCTTTTTCGTTGTATTTTGGCCCGCCAAGCGGGGGTGAAGCGGTACCACAGGCGGTGTCGTAGCAGCCTAGTCCTGCTCTCTCCTGAGAAGGCGCTCCCTCACATCTTCCCTTCTCTCTGGCCCTCTGTTCCCCCTGGGTTTGGTCTCCACACACCCCTTCCTCCGCCTCTCCCAGCGCTCTCCAGGGCCCTCTGCTTTCGCCTTGTCCTCTCTCTTTCTTTCTCTCCCTCCAGGTGTGTGCCGTCCAGGTGAAAAACACGGGTAAGATGTATGCCTGTAAGAAGCTGGACAAGAAGCGGCTGAAGAAGAAAAACGGGGAGCAAATGGCCCTCCTGGAAAAGGAGATCTTAGAGAAGGTGAACAGCCCTTTCATCGTCTCGCTGGCCTACGCCTTCCAGAACAAGTCCCATCTCTGCCTGGTCATGAGCCTGATGAATGGGGGCGACCTCAAGTTCCACATCTACAGCGTGGGCGCCCAGGGCCTGGCCATGAGCCGGGTGGTCTTCTACTCGGCCCAGATGGCCTGTGCGCTGCTGCACCTCCACGGCCTGGGCATCGTCTACCGGGACCTGAAGCCTGAGAACGTGCTGCTCGATGACCTGGGCAACTGCAGGCTGTCTGACATGGGGCTGGCCGTGCAGGTCCGGGATGGCAAGCCTGTCACCCAGAGGGTGAGTGGCCGCCGTGGAGTCGGGCGGGGCTGGGGAGGGCAAACAGCTGTGCTTTCCTCTCCCGCCCCGAGTCCCGTCCTCCTGTGCCGTGTTGCCGTAGGTAGAATGGAACCTGAGCAGTGGCCTAACCGGCTCTATGGAGGCCTTTGCTCTCTGCTCGTAGGGGGCGCTCTCTCTGTGCACTGGGGTTCCGTGGGAAGACAGAAAGTGCTAACTTCAGGGTCTCAGTACATTCCACCCGCAGTTCTCTGCACCCGAGCCACGTTTCAGGCAAGGAAATGAGAAAAACCACGGCAAGTTGGGGGAATAGCAGATGCTTTTATGTGGTGGAAGGGAATTTGCTAAGATACTCAGGGCTCGGCTCAAGCAAAGGCATCGGATGCCTTCTTGTAGGGGGCGAGGAGCCACTGATGCATTTTAGGAAGAATGAGATGATCAGATTTGCCTTTTTAAAAGACCAAACCAACCAGCTGTGGTGCACACCTGTAATCCCAGTGCCTGGGAGGCTGAGGCAGGAACATCACAAGTTCCAACCCAGTCTGGGCAACTTAGTGAATTATTGAGATCCTATCTCAATTTTAAAAGATCTGGAGATACAGCTCAGTGCAAAGGCTATGAGGTCATTCCCAGTATAAAGAAAGAAAAAACAAAACAAACAAAGCAACCCAGTACCAGTGTGGAAGGTCTCAGGGGTCAGGAAAGCTAGTTGGGAGGCTAATGCAGTAGCCCAGGAAGAGACAACGGTGTCTGTGTCGCTCAGTGGGACTGAAGGAGTGAGATAAACTGGAGCTATCAGGAGGGGCCGGTGGGACTTTGACCCCCTGGTGGAGAGGGAGGTGACTTGCTCTAGCAACCGGAAGGAGGAGCAGAACTGGGGGAGAGCTGGCAGGTTCAGCTCTGAGTCGCCAGACTGTGTGTGAGGTCTCTGAGAATGGGTGGCTGGAGGTGTTCACTGGGCTTTCAGACCTGCGGACCTGGGACTGTAGAGGAGGACCTGGGCTACACGGGGGATCTGGTGTCATCGTGGGCAGCAGCAGGCATCACCACTGTCACTTGACAAACAGTGGGGGAAGAGAGCCAGGGACAGAAGCTGAGGAATACTGCCCTGCAAGGGTGTCTAAGAGGGACCTCCCACAGCTCAGGAAGTAGGAGACAAGAGTGGCCTAGTCCCAAGAGCTGGATTTCTGTGTATCATAGAAAATGCAATGAATTAAATAAGACAGAGCTTATTTGTCTTATGGAACCAGGTAAGGAGATAAGAAACTACCAGCATCTGGAGCTGTAGGGTGATAGAATCCATGTCTTTATAATTTTTGGGCTTTTCCATGTGTTACAAGATGGCTGCTTTAGCCCCAGCCATCAGGACTGTGCTCCAGGCAGGTGAAAGGTAGACAGGTCAGAAATAAATGGCATGCATACACCAATCGACTGCCCCCTGACCTTTTAAAGGGCTTTCCTTGCAGCCTATCTAATAGTTTCCATTGAGATTTCATTGGCTGGTACTGCTACCTGGTCACCCTTACCTGCAGGAGAAGCCAATAGATGGCATGGTTTGAGGCGAGGAGAAGGAGGAGTTCAGATGAGTAAGACAGAAAAATGACCGGCTCTTGCACAGGTAACCAGCAGCCTCTGCCATAGGGGCCCGAGGAGCCGAGGATTTCAGGGAGGAGCTGGCCAGTGGTACTGAAGACTGCAGGGGTCACACAGCGTAGGGGCTGTGGCAGTTTAAGACACCTCAGTGTCCTTGGTGAGAGCACCCTGGAGGGACGGAGGCCCAGCGCAGGTGGTGGAGGTTGGGCTGACCGGGAAGTAGACAGCGAGATGAGGGAGGAAGAGAGAGCCTGGTCAACTGAGGGGTCAGCGGGGAGGGGAATGGAGCTGGGAGGTGGGGGGGTGCCGCAGATCTGGATGCCGGACAAGAGCCTGTAGAGCCGGTGCTGACTGGGGAGGGGAAGAACACACGCAGGTAAAGCCAGCTACCAAGCGGCCGGGGCAAGGGCAGGCGGGGAGGGGCAGAGCACTGGCCTCCCCGGGACCTCAGCCCGCGACGTAAGGTGGAGAAGCCGTGTCTGGGTGACAAGCAGAGGTGCCCGGGCTCGTGGATCCGAATCTGCACTGTGCATTTTGCAGAGCACAAGCTGTCCTGAGGGCTCTGGGTCAGTGACTCCTGCCGGGGGCCGATACGCCCCTCCTTGCTGGAAGCCTTCGAGGCGCACACACCTTAGTCTGCCTTGTGAGTCCTTCTGGCTCTGTGCTGGCCCAGGAGAGTTTTTAGGACGTTCCCGCTGGCTCCTGTGTCTAGCTCTCCAGATCTTTCAGCACCCTCAGGAAGCTGCGTCTCCCCCGTATTGCCCTCGTTGAAGGATCTGTTGTATTTACAACATATCACAGGCAAAATGGAAAATGATATAACTGTGACTATTCTGTAACCATGAATGTTCGGTGTGATGTAAAGACACTGTATTAGCAGGGCATGGTGGTGCATGCTTGTAATACTAGCTGCTTGGGAGGCTGAGGCAGGAGGATCACAAGTTCAAGAGCAGCCTGGGCAATACCACAAGAGCCTGTCTAGAAATAAAATAGAAGTTTTAGGGATGTAGCATTATAGCCCTTGTCTAGAATACAGAGAAGGGTATGAGTTGGGTATGGTGGTGCACGCCTGTAATCCCAGCACTCAGGAGGCTGAGGCAGGAGGATTGTCATGAGTTTGAGGCTAGCCTGGGCTACATAGTGAGTTCAAGTCCAGTTTGAACTACATAGTGAGACCCTGTCTCAAATACAAACAAACAAATAGAAAAGGCTTTGGGTTCAACAGCCAGTACCTCTCCCCCGACAAAGATACTACATAAAATAGTTCCTGTGAGCATTGGGGAGAACGGGAGAAGGAACAACCGCCCTGATGTGGAGGTTGATGTATGTACTGACTCTGCATAGCCCATCTGGAAAAGTTAAGGTACTGTGGCTAGTTTTTCTCCTTCTGCAACTTGTTTGGTTTTGTACGAGTTGGTTTTGCCTTTTGCTACATTTAACAGAATATCAGTTTCTGGTATGGATTTGGCAGTTCAGTGATTTTAGGGACAAGATCTCTGTAAAAACCTGTTGGCCTTTTCCTCCTTGCTGCAGGATAGTTGCTGCTGCTCCAAACATTGGGTCCACATTCCAGAACAGAAAAAGTAGAGAGAGAGGAAGATGTCCACAAACTTACGCTTATGTGCCAGGATCATGTCATGTGTCCATGAGTGGTCTGTGCCACCAAGGTCCTCCACAGAGGACAGGTGTGTAGCTAGGTGTGGTGTTGTATGCCTATAATCCCTGTACTCTGGGAGGCTGAGGCAGGAGGACTGCAGCCAGGAGTGGGAGGACCACTGGCTCAGTTGTGATCATGCGATGTTCAGTTATGCACTGTTCGTATTGCAAGATATCACTGCTTTTTTTTGTTCGTTTGTTTTTGGTACCAGGAATCGAACTCATGACCTCACACTTGCCAGGCAGGTACTGTGCTCCTGAGCTAAATCCCCAGCCCATCACTACTTTATTAAGTAAAAATTTATTAGAAATATTCACTTGTCTTATGAAACACTCGAAGAACAAATTACTTTCAATCCAAGGTTTTACTGTATTTCATTTTGGGGGAAAACAGAAGTGAGATGAGGTGCTAGGTGAGATGACAGCATCTGTCACACCAGGCTCCAGGAAAAAATAGTGATGATCAGTAGTTGTGGCTCACTCTCCTTACACAGATAATAAAACCTATAGAATAACTGTTACAACTGTGTGCTAGACAGAATTCTTTTTTTTTTTTTTTTTTTTTTTTTTTTTTT